TCCAGCATTTTATCTTACTTTTGAATGATAGGAATTATGTGGATTTGGAGGAATATTTTGATTCTTGCGATGTCGTTTAGTTACAAGAAATGAACCTAGTTGTGTTAGTGAAATTCTTGAAGAAGTTGGTCTTAAAAATGTGTAGAATGTATGTGTGTTTTTGGTTTGGTGAAATTTTTCAGGGCTGGAGAACTAAGTGCTGCAGAACTCGACAATCTCATGACAATTGTCGCTAACCCTCGCCAATTCAAGATCCCAGACTGGTTCTTGAACAGGCAAAAAGATTACAAGGATGGGAAATACTCCCAAGTTGTTTCCAATGCTCTCGACATGAAGCTGAGAGATGATCTTGAACGTCTCAAGAAGATCAGGTAACACCCTCACGCTCTCCCCTCTAAAACTCTCTTGAGAGGCCATGTCATTGTAAATAGGATTACATAGGTAAAGAAAGATATGCTCATGTCCAATAACTTTTGAGAAATCTGTCACTTGGATTACATTGGTAATCTATATGTCCATTTCGTTAACAAACCCCCGATACTTGTTTCTCGCATGTTGTACCAGTGCGTGCAATCAATACAAACTTTGTTAGTTTAGTTTCATTTGTGGTGATCACCAATGGTTCTCACTGTTTGAAACCGTTCTGATGTAAACAGAAACCACCGTGGTCTGAGGCATTACTGGGGTCTCCGTGTACGAGGACAGCACACCAAAACCACTGGACGCCGAGGAAAGACTGTCGGTGTCTCCAAGAAGCGTTAAAGAGTTGCTTTGGTTCAATGGTTTTGTCTCGTTTTTTCAAAAGAGAGGAAGAGGTTTAGTATTAAGAGATGTTATTTCATCAAAACGTTTTTAGTAGCTTTATAATATAGAATTGTTGTTCAACTCTTTTTTGTTATATTCTCTCAAATCAAAAACTTCTGTTGTTTCTTGAAAATAAAAATTAATAATACAAAGAACATTCTATAGGTAATGAAAATGATTCAAGTGTAAAATCTGTGTGTTAGTGAAATCAAATTTGCTAATGTGGTGGATTAAAGAAAGGCATGTCGCTATCATGCGCAAGTACATCCTTATCACTATCAGTAACTTTAAAACACTGGAATTAATTATATACTTAATGATTTTTTAATGTTA